GTAGCCCTGACTCACTACAACTAGAGAAAGCCTGCATGCAGCAATGAAGACCCAGCATAGCCATAAAGAAAGAAAGAAAGAAAAACTTTTAAAAAATAGTACCGTAAAACGTTAACTTAGACATGGAACATTCAGATACAACTTTATTTTTGCTGCCCAATATCCACTCATCTTCTGGAATTTTTATTTTAATTTCCTTCTGAGATCAACCTCCCCTCCCAAGGAATTTCTGGGGTCATGGACCCCACCCTTAGCTGAGGTGGGGGAGAGTGAGAGGGCCTGAGCAGCACAGTCCAGGCTGGAACATTCAGGGACCTAAATTCCCTGGCTCTGGGATTAGTTCAGGCAAAGGAAAAAAAGGACCCAGCACAAGCAGTTACAATCCTGCCAGGTTCCTGGGCAAGAAACACATACTCTTTCCTGCACAAAGGAAGTGGGGCTCAAGCTGAGGCTGCCATCTTGGCTCTCGGGGAAAGGCTTGTCTGAAGAGAGACATGGGATAGGGAAGAAACATCATCTGAACTGAGTCAACCTACACTCCTCCCCTGGATCGCCTCCACATGTCGTACCCACTTCCTGGTCTACCCACTTCTTGTCACAACCCACACTAAAGGGGCTTTCACTTCCACCAGTGGAGCAAAAACTGCTGTGTCACATCCAAGGTCACTTTCCTACTCCTTCAGAAGACACTGTTTAGCAGCCTCTCCCACTTCTAAAATCCCTGAGCTGACTATGGCACATACTCCTCTGGCTTCTCCTCTTCTGCTTGGCTGGCCGCTCATCCTCCCCTCAACCTCATGGTGATGGGGTCTCAGGGCTCAACCCTGCACCCTCTCACTTGTCTGCACCTTTCCCTGAAGTGAGCCCATCCACTCCCAAGGTGTTCTTCACTACTTTTTTGATGACACCCAAATTTGTATCCAGCCTAAACCTCTTTTCTGAGCTCCAGGAAGCTTGCATAATTCAGTTACCATCCTTGACATGTCCAACCTTTGTATTCTGGACCCCACTCAGAACTTGTTTCATACCCATATATGCCTTAGCAAATGCAAACATACACAGATGTTAAATCAGGAACATTTAAACCAGGAACCTGGAATATCATCTAGACTCTGCCCTCTGTGCCCCATCTCTCTACACATCACTCATCAGTAAGACCTGTATTTTTACTTCCAAACATATCTTGAATTTATTCACTTTCTCCACCTTCACTCTCACAGTTTGGATGGGTCATCAGTGTGGTCCAGGTTTTCTCCCCCTGGGGACATGGGATAATGGCACTTTTCCAGCCTATTTGAAGTTAGGCATGCCTGTGTGACTTACTTCTTACATGTGAGAAGACGAGGCATCTGTCGCTTCTGGTGGGGGATTTTAAGAGCCAGTACACAAATCTTCCTCCTGCCATTGGGATTACGGAAATCATATTGAAGTGAGGACCCTGACAACCTGAATCCCTGAGTAATTAATACGAGCATAGCCCTCCTGCTCACTGGCAAAAAAAAAAAAACACACCCTGAAAATAAATATTTGTTGTTAAGCCATTGAGGTTAAGGTCTGTTTGTTACTGTAGCACAACATAGCCTATCCTGTCTGATAAACTATCTGGTCCAAGTCATCCAAGCTCCTGCAGCAGCCTCCTACTTCTACTCCTCTCTCCTCCCATGCAGAGTAACCTCTTTACAACTTTATTGTTGTTGTTTAATTACTAAGTCATGTCCGACTCTTTTCGATCCCATGAACTGCAGCAAAACAGGCTTCCCTGTCCTTCACTATCTCCCGGAGTTTGCAAACTCATGTCCATTGAGTCAGTGATGCCATTCAACTATCTCATCCTCTGTTGCCCTCTTCTCCTCCTGCCTTCAATCTTTTCCAAGATCAGGGTCTTTTCCAATTAATCAGATATTTGCATCAGGTGGCCAAAGTATTGGAGCTTCAGCATCAGTCCTTCCAATGAATATTTAGGGCTCATTTCCATTAGAATTGGTTGGTTTGACCTCCTTGCAGTCCAAGGGACTCTCAATAGTCTTCTCCAGCACCGTAGTTCGAAAGCATCAATTTTTCAGCGCTCAGCCTTCCTTATGGTCCAACTCTCTCATCCGTATATGACTACTGGAAAAACTATAGCTTTCACTATACAGACCTTTGTCGGCAAAATAATGTCTCTGACTTTTAACACGCTGTCTAGGTTTGTCATAGATTTTCTTCCAAGGAGCAAGTGTCTTTTAATTTCATGGCTGCAGTCACTGTCCACAGTGATTTTGGAGTCCAAGAAAATAAAATCTGTCACTGTTTCCACTTTTCCCCTATCTATTTGCCATGAAGTGATAGGATCAGATGCCATGATCTTAGTTTTTTGAATGTTGAGTTTTAAGCCAGCTTTTTCACTCTCCTCTTTTACTCTCATCAAGAAACTCTTTGGTTTCCCTTCACCTTCTTTGCAATTTAAGTTGAAGAAGGAATTCATAGGGCCTGGATTTCATCTTAGGCCTGTCCGTGCTAATCATGCTCAGCCGCCTCTCCAATGGACTCTGAACTCTCTGCTTAGTGCCTATGGGAACGACAATGGAAGGATAAGACCCCCTCTGGACAGGGAAACCTTGAAGATCATATCCAGGTTACTTATCACCTAAGAAAAAACATACACTAATCACCCCTGCCTCCGGACAGTGTCTATCAGAATGTAACCACAGGCTTATCGGTTATTAACTGGTTGGAATGTAACCGTGGGCTTATTGATTATTAACTGTTTAACACATAACACATGAATGATGGGGTTATTGTGATTATATTTACCCTTCCTTTGTAAGTCTCAAGGAATTTGGGGTGGTGGGTTCAGACACGTACACATAGGGTATAAAAGATTTTCACAAATGCTGGTCGTGGTCCTTGGCTAAGAGGAGACTCTACCTTGGGCTATAACATTTGGTGCATTGGCCGGGAAAGACCTGATCACACCTTCCTTAAAACCTTTTGGCAGTTTCTCTTATACTTAAAGAAAATCCACACTCTTTCCTAGGGTCACAGGATCTGACCCCTGCCTGTCTCTCTGACCAGGTTTCCCACCCCTTTTTCCTCATTCATTACATCCAGTCCCCCAGCACTCCTTGCTCTCTCTGAGGCACGGAGCTCTTTTCTGCTTCAGGGCTTTCACGGATGCTGTTCCTCTACCTGGAACTCTTTCCCACATTATTCACATAGCTAGCCCTTTCCCATCTTTCAAGCCTCAACTTAAATGTCACCTCTGCCAGAAGGCCCCTACCGCTATACTCTGTTCATTTCCTTCTTAGCTTTTACTAGAAGTTGAAATTGTGTTTGCTTTTCACATTTATTTACTTGTTTATTCACAAGTAAGCTCTACGGGGGGCCCTGTCGGCCCTCAATACATATTTGTTGGATGGAGGAATGACTGAGTGAGAAGGAATTGCAAAGGCTCAGTGGTAAAGAATCCGCCTGCAATGCAGGAGATGAGGATTCAATCCCTGGGTCAGGAAGATCCCCTGGAGAAGGAAATGGCAACCCACTCCAGTATTCTTTTTAAATTTATTTAATTGGAGGATAATTACTTTACAATATTGTGATGGTTTTTGCCACACATCAGTATGAACTGGCCATAGGCATACATGTATCCCCTCCACCCTGAACCCCCCCACCTCCCTCCCCACCCCATCCCTCCAGGTCATCACAGAGCACGGGGTTTAGGTTCCCTGTCTTATACATCAAACTTCCACTGGCTCTCAGTTTTACATATGGTAATGTATATGCTTCAGTGCTATTCTCTCAAATCATCTCACCCTCTCCTTCTCTCAGAGTCCAAAAATCTGTTCTTTATTCTTACCTGGAAAATTCCATGGACAGAGGAACCTGGCAGGCTACAGTCCATGGGGTCGCAAAGAGTCAGACACGACTTAGTGGCTAAACAACAACAATGCCTTAAGTAAACATAAGGCTGTAGTGCTCATGGGGCTAGTAAATATCACAGGCCTATTCAGCCTGCCCTCGAGAGGGAATTCTTTAAGGTGACTAGGGGCCCAACCTCACAAGATCTTTTATTCTCCTTGGGAGCTAAAGTGCCCCTGAGACACAAGGCCTCTCCTGAGGGCCCAGCTTGGGTTCTGTCCTCTCCCTCAGCTACCACAGCTCACCCAGGGACAGCCCAGGCTGGAGCAAGTCCAACTGGAGCTGAAGAGTGAGCAGCCAGTCCCCAGGGGGAGGTGGCCAGCTGCTGCCGTCATGGAGAGCGTGGCCTGGCCAGCTCTCTAGAAATAGCCCAAGGTCAAGGTGGGGTGCTTCCGTCCACCACAGATGGAGAAATCTGAGAGGAGGCCAGTCCCGGATTTCCTTCCACCCCACTACCGGGATCCCTGACCTTGGTCTGGAGCTCCCCAATTTCCAGCCACTTCCCCATAGACCCCTCCACTCATCTCTGCTTTCAAAGAACCCTCAGGCTTCCAACCCCCTCTCCTCCCAACATACCCCTGAGATGGACCAGGTGGGCCTTATCCCATGTCAAAGCTCAGGAGGTCAAGGGTGTCTTCCAACTCAGCATGTGAGTTGACCGACAAACTGGATGCCAGTGCAGAGCCCCATTCTAGACTCAGTGCCTTATCCCAGTGGAACCTTCCTCAGTGGGGGGACATGCCTAGCGAGTCCACAGCCTCTGCCCTGGAATTGATCACAGCTACCTGTCACCTGCTCTCAGGGACCCTTTGTCCTGCCGACTCTGACCCTGTTCATTGGCACTGAGAGCAGTGCAGCCTCGTCAGCTGCTGCCGTCAGCTGCTGGGACTAAATCCACAGCAGCCACTTCCACTTTGGGTGCTGGATACACTGCCTGCTGGTCCAGCTCATTCACCAGACCTCACAGCTGGCCCGACCACACAAACCCACTATCCTCACACCCACAAATCTATTCCTATCCCCCAACAAGGAAGGCTAAGGTTCTCGAGCATCCAGCCACAAGCTTCATCAGTCCCTTGTGGCAAGCAGGGCTCCAGACTCACTTTTCTTGAAGGTTCCCACAGGCCTGGGAGAAGGGAGTGGGGAGGTACCTCAGGGAGACCAGATGGATGGTCTGGAACAGACGCAGGAAGGGGTGCTGCCCGGGGATGGCCAGCAGGGCCGGAGACGGGGGAGGATGGGAAGAGCCCACACAGGGGGTGACTGGCCCTTTGAATAGAACAGGACAGGGTGGGCACCTGGTAGATTTCTGCTAATCAGATTACAGCAGGCAGAGCTGAATCAGGAAGTAGGAGAGAATTAAAGGTGGGATTTTTGTTTTTTTAGAAATACAGCATTTGTTTTTAAAGGACTTTCAATAGGTCCAAATAAAAGCTGGTAGAATGTCCTGTAGTAGACAACCTTTGGAGTTTGAATGACCTGTATCTGTGTGCACACCAGGATTCCATGTGTGGAAGCCCAGCAAGCGCACTGCACAACTCTAGGGCCCCCTTCACATTGCACAGATTGTGAACTTGTATACTTATCACAGATCTCTGGCAGGTGACAGCCACGTGTCTTAAGGAAGGAAGGAAGGGCATCTTTTCTGATCCTTTTGGGCTAATGGTAGGGCTTCAAATAGGTACTTCCAGCAAGCTTGAAATTAAACTTCAAAAATTAAAATCTCTCTAGCATAAGCGTGCTACTCCTACTCATTTGCATGACAGCTTTTTCTTCCTGAAGTATGCAAAGGTGGAGATTAATTAGCATCCATTCTTAATTACAGAGCCCCAAATTCAGGAAGACAGATTTTTTTACTTACATGCTTTGGGATTGTGGGAGGTAGGGTGGTGGTGGGGAGGTGGTATTTAAGAACTCAATGCTGTCAAAAGCACCAATAATTCCTAGGCCTTATTTTAAGCAATATTTAAATTTGGGTATTATATGATGATTCTCTCTATGCCTTTACATAGAGAGTGCTTACAAACTTTTCTGGAATTATTTTCTTCACTGGCTGCCCATGTGAATCTTTGTTCCCAATGTCCACACATTCCAAACCGGCAACCCTATAGCTTTAGTTAAATGAAGCACTGACTGCTCAGAACCCATTCACTTCTGTTTCCTTTTTTAAAATTTATTTGGCTGCACCAGGTCTTAGTTGAGACATGCAGAATCTTCTAGTTGCAGCGTGAGAACTCTTAACTGTGGCATGTGGGATCTAGTTACCTGACCAGAGATCAAACCCAGGCCCCCTGCTTTCAGAGTGCAGAGGTTTAGCCACTGGACCACCAGGGAAGTCCCAGAAACCATTCACTTCTAACCCCACAGATCCTTAACAGACAGACTCTGAAATGAGTATTCTCAGAGTCATGAATACACTCACTCTCTGAGAATCACCAAAAGCAGACCTAGCAGGCAAAGTTTCCCCAACAAAGATAAGGGTCTCCAATGAGCTGAAGAAATGCTTTCCACATAGACCAGACATTAAAGCATTCAATGCAGGAGTGGCTGAGGAAGGTTCAGAATTGTGGGTAGAGGCCAGGTGTCCACAGGCTGTCACCTGGGAACCTTGTGTTACCAACCATATTGACCACTCACTTCCTGGGCAACAGTTTCTGGTCAACATGAAGACCTCTCTCTGGAAATTTCTTGAAGATAACAGTTGGCAAGTAAATAGCAACTAGGACTGTTTGCTGCCTTTATACCAAGTAAAAGGGAACATCCCTGCGTAACCCAGCCCTCAGTGGCAGCTTCCCCAGGCTTATCCATTGGGAAGTCCGGTGCTAACCCTGATGTGTCACCCTGCCACCTGGGCTGGAAGCTGCTTCCCACAGTCCCTCCCTCGTGTGCTCCCAGGTTAGACTTTGTCAATGAGAGAATCATGCCCTGGACTTAGATGGCAGGAGGGAAGCAGAAGCCATTTTTCCCAGAAGCTTGGTTAGGTGCAAGCGCATCACAGAACTCGAAGGGCTCCCACTTTTCCCCTCACACTTCTGGCTGCAGACTGAGATCCCCAAGTCACAGAAAAGCTTCTGTTTTTCTGACCACCTGATCAATGCTGAGGCCCTCAAGTTCTCTCTGCTCTCTGATTTAACCCTCAGCCTTACACAGGGCCTCCCGTGACTCCATTCCCACCCATGCTCAGCACTGACCCACATGGAGAGCTCAGCCCCCTTCCTCGAGGCTCTGTGCATGCAGCAGACCTCACAGGATGCCTAGAGGTTACCTCACATCAGCACTGATGACATGAAGAAATGTCATACTCCATGATTCTTAAAAGTGGCTCCATCCATTTTCTCCTCCCCTACTCAGTCTGACCACCTGATGAAAAGAGTCAGTTCATTGGAAAAGACCCTGATGCAGGAAAAGGTTGAAGGCAAAAGGAGAAAGGGGTGGTAAAGGATGAGATGGTTAGATAGCACCACCAGCTCAATGGACATGAATCTGAGCAAACTCTGGGAAACAGTGAGGGACAGGGAAGCCTGGCGTGCTGCAGTTCATGGGGTTGCAAAGAGCTGGACACGACTTAGCGACTGAACAACAGCAACTCAGCTTCAGGCCTGCTTCGTGAGCCCTGATAAAACAAAAGCCACCTACTCTAGGTTGTAAGGTTCAACAGACTGAAGAGCTGCTAGACACCTTGAAGTCTACACCTTTCCTTTCTCCAGCCTCCACCAACAGAAAGGAATAGCATACAGAGTGATTTCTCCACCACCCTAACCTCATCCTCCCTTAGAAGGAAAATGCTGCTATACTTTCTATTCTTTTCATTCATTTTCTCCTCCTGCACTAGAGTTTGTCTTCAAATTGGATATTACTAACTCTGAATGATTTTATTTTAGGGTGGTGCGTGTATTTGTCATCAATTGCTGTGTAACAAATTACCTCAAAACTTAGCTGCTTAAAACTCACCATTATTATCTCACCATTTCTGTGGGTCAGGAGTTAAGGACTGACTTAGTTGAATGGTACTGACTCAGGGATTCCCAGCAGGGGGTGGACAAGATGTGAGCCAAGACTCCAGTCATCTGATAGCTTGCTTGGAGCCAGAGGTTCTGCTTCCAAGATGAAAGTGAAAAGCAGATTCTTTACCATCTGAGCCACCAGGGAAGCTTCCAAGATGCCACCCCCACAAAGCTGTTGTCAGCACATGGCCTTTCCCTAAGACTGCTTGGGTGTCCTCATGGGCATGTCAGCTAACTTCCCCAGAGTGAGTGATACAAGAAATAGAGCACTCATGATCTAGTCTCAAAAGTCACAAACCATCAGTTCCTCCAGATTGTACTCATTTGAAATGAGTCATGAAGTCCACCCACACTCAAGGCGAAAGGAATTAAACTTCACTTTTTAAAGGGAGGCATTTCAAGGAATATGTAGGCATATTTTAAAGCCACCAAAGTGTGAAAGCAATGCAAAGATAAGGTGTCAAAATACCTATGTTCTCTAGAGCCTGTTACAGAGTGAAGTAAGTCAGAAAGAGAAAAACAAATGTCTTTTATTAGTACGTAGTATAGAATCTAGAAAAATGGTACTGCTGCACCTATTTTCAGAGCAGGAGTAGAGAAGCAGATGTAGAGAAAAGACTTGTGGACACAGCAAGAGAAGGAGAGGATGCGATGAATTGAGAGAGTAGTATGAAAGCATATACATTACCAAATGTAAAATAGATAGCCAGTGGGAATTTGCTGTTTGATGCAGGAAGCTCAAACTGGTGCTCTGTGACAGCCTAGAGGGGTGTGATGGGGTGGGAGGAAGGTTCAAGAGAGAGGGGACATATACATATATACTTATGGCTAATTCATGTTGATGTACGGCTGAAACCAACACACTATTGTAAAGCAATTATCCTCCAAATAAAGATAAATAAATATAAGAAAAGAAGCAAAACAAAACAAAAGATAAAGCATCAAAATACCTGTGTTCTCTAGAGCCTGTTATATAGAGTAAAGTAACTCAGAAAGAGAAAAATAAAGTGTATTAATGCATATATATGGAATCTAGAAAAATGGTACTGATGAACTTATTTACAGGGCAGGAATAGAGCAGCAGATGTAGAGAACAGACTTGTGGACACAGAGAGAGAAGGGAGTAGGATGAACTGAAAGAGTTGCATTGACACATACACACTACCATGTGTAAAACAGATAGCTAGCAGGAAGCCGCTTTCTGGAATAACACACGGAGCTCAGCCCGGTGCTTTGTGACAATCGAGAGGTGTGAGGTGGTGGGGGTCTGCGGGGTGAGAAGGAGGTGTAAGAGGGAGGGAATATATGTATTGCCTGATTCACGCTGTTGTCTGGAGAAACAAACACAACATTGTAAAGCAATCATCCTCTAATTAAAAATTTTAAAATTGCTAGATTAAAAAAAAAACCGTGTTCTAATTTTACATCTAAATGCTGAGGGACATCCCCTCGTCCCTAGATGAGATCTATTCTCTCAATCTATTTCCCCAGGATGAGAAGACAGACTTCAATGACCACTAGGGTTTTGTTTCCAGTTAGTAGGTGTCTCAGTGTTCCAGCTCCAGCACTCAAGATCCTAGGACTTGACCCCAGATGTCAGGCACCCCTCCTTCTCCTCCCCTTCTCTTGCTGCAAGCTCTTGGCCCCAGGTGCATGCACCACCCATTGGAACCCAAACCGAGTTCATCAGCATCTCTGGGTGGTACCCAGGCATCAACAGGTTTTATGGCTCCCTGGTGGTTGAGGACAAGGTTGAGGACCACTACTCTAACTGCTCAGTGGGAACCCTGAGCAGAGGGATCCTTTCAACAAATAAAACAGTTGTTGTTATTGTTGAGTCGATAAGTCATGTCTGACTCTTTGAACCTCATGGACTGCAGTACACCAGGCTTCCCTGTCCTTCACTATCTCCTGAGGTTTGCTAAGATTCATGTCCATTGAGTCAGTGATGCTATCTAACCGTCTCATCCTCTGCCCACCTCTTCTCCATTTGCTTTCAAACCTTTCCCAGCATCAGAGTCTTTTCTAATGAGTCTGCTCTTCGCCTCAGGGAGCCAGAGTACTAAGCTTCAGCTTCAGCATCAATCCTTCCAATGAATATACAAGGTTGATTTCCTTTAGAACTGACTGGTTTGATCTCCTTGCTGTCCAAGGATAAATTACTGATTTGTCTTTTTCCTTTGAAGTATATGCACATCAAAATACAGGTGTTCAATGTCCAGGTAATCATTCCTGGGGTCTGATTTATCTAAGAAAACACTTTGC